GCTCAGGGTTTTCATTCCTTGATCACTTTTCTCCAGATGGCTCAAACATAGACTACAGATAATAAATCCCAACACACATGAACAGTTATATAATAAATTCGAACCGGAAGAAAAAGTTAGCAAAACCATACCTGAATATACAGGGACAGAAATAAACACTTAGGGTTAAATTAACCTACTGAATAAATACGTAGTAAATCTAGTGGTCGCTCTTTTATCTGACCAAGAATGGACAGAATACCACAAAAAGGAAAAGAAGATCTTCTGAGGCAGTATGAACTTTGGCCAGAAAGATGTAACTTACAGCAACCTACATTCCAAAAGAAGAGAACGTCCACCTGTTTTATGGTCCTGAAGGTAACATGAGGAAAACCAGGTTCTCGGTAGACAGGGCAGACATAGCTTAAAGCAGCGTTTTCCAACCTGGTCCTTGGGGACCCCCCCCCCCCCCTTCCTCCTAGCTCCCGATGAGTACAAATGTGGACTGGGGGCCCCTGAGGAAACACTGGCTTAAAGAGATTTGCACTGGAGAGGATATTCTGACCAGCAAAAATGAAATGTAAAAGTCTGCATTAAGAATCATTTTTATCCAAGACCCTCAGCTGGATAAGTGGTTGGAAGATGGATAGACATAAATTATTCATAGGTCAGAAGACAAAAACAAAACAGAAAAAAAGAGATCTTTCTAAAATAAGCAGAGATCTTATTGTAATACCCTGCTGGGATTGGTGAAGATTAATGTTTCTAAGAGAGATGTCCGTAGGGGAAAACTAACCCCTTACCTGAGAGAAAGAGACAGAGATTAAGTATCAGAGTATATAGATTCCCATACTTGTATAGATAGATGGATGGATTAATGGATGGATAGATACTGTAGCACAAGGCGGGGCGTATGTCCCAGCATGCACCGCGTGCAGTTATAATTAGCTGTTGTTGTGTTGTTGTTAGTGTTAACTTAATGGTTACATTTCCTTATTGTTGCGCCCGTGTTTTCCCATACCTTATGTGTACCCTGTCCGATCCTCGCGTGTGTTTATAGTTTACGTAAATCTCCCACTGTGTGTGTATCTTACAGTTCGGCGTCTGACAACCTTGTGTTTCCTGCGTGTAATTGGTTCGGTGTTTGTTGGGTGCCTGATGTAGTCCTTTTCAGGACTGCTAATAAAGAGCGTGTTCTCCCCGGCAAGTGCCTGTCTGTGTCTCTCTCTGCTCCCGCGATGCCTCGGTCCGCCCAACGCCGCAATACTTTAATAATCCCGAAGGAAATTTAGGCATCTAGTACCTCGAAAAATACAGTGGTAGAGACAGTAAGACACATGGTAATAGGATAAAATACAAGGATTGCAAATGTTGAGGGGGAAGGAACTGTACAGATAAAAGTGACTATGTGAGGATAATAGTAGTTGCTACCATATGATAGAAAAAAAATAAAAAATAGGAATGTGTAATTGAAAATTATAATATATATAGTATGTTTCTGATTGTTTGGTTAGAGACATTCACACCAGTGGCCAGCTGGAGGTCATTTTGTAGGGCTCTGACGGTGCTTGTCCTGTTCCTTCTTGCACAAAGGAGAAGATACAGGTCCTGCTGATTAGTTAAGGACCTTCTATGGCCCTGTCCAGCTCTCCTAGAGTAACTGCCTTTCTCCTGGAATTTCCTTCATACCCTTGAGAAACCTTCTTTGTAGTGATGTACCATCCTGGAGGAGCAGGACTATCTGTGCAACCTCTGTAGGGTCCAGGTACCACCTCATGCTACCATTGGTGACATTGACTGTAGCCAAATGCAAAACTAGTGAAAAAAAACAGTCAGAAAAGATGAAGAGGGAAAATGTCAATGGCCTCCATCTGGTAAACCATTCCTGTTTTGGGGGTCGTCTCATTGTTGCCGCTCTAGTGCACCTGTTGTTAATTTCATTAACACCAAAGCAGCCTGATAGATTTCTTCAGTGAAACCTCAGGTTCTTTTAGTTGAATGATGAGGCAGGTTCCTTAAGCTTAAGCAGTTTATTAAGACAGAATGAAGATGTTTCACACGGCCGGTTCAGTGTCTGTCTGCGTCTGTCTCTGCCCCCCCTGAGGGAAACAGCCCCTTTATCTATGGTCTTCATACAGACTCCCGGAGCCGGGGGGGTCAGACGGCCTTGGGGAGAGTAAGTTGTATGACAGGCAAAGAACATGATGAGCGAGTAGCGAGGACAGAAAGAAATATATAAATAAGAAATATGAAGGCTATAAATGAATGAACTAAATGAACATAATTAAATAACTACAATTTAACTAGGGAAATCCCTCAAGTCGAAACTGATTAACAACCCCATCTGCTACTTAACTGACCAGGTCAATATCCCAGAAGTTTAATTGACTTGATGCTACACTCTGATTTAAAAGTGTTCCTTTAATTTTTTTGAGCAGTGTATATGAAATACACGTAAAGTACAGAGCATTTTCATTTTTTGCACAAGTCCCTTCAGGGGCTCTGTAATAAAGTATAAAAAAAATGAGATATAGTTATATGTGTATAAATATGCACTCTATAAAATACACATACTCTGTAAAGTATGTAAACTACATATATTAAAAATGCAGAGGGAACCCAGAAGTAGCTCCTGTATATTTGCTCTGTGCATAGTTACAGTACAGAAGTCATTATCTGGTCCTTTGTCTATAAACCACTGTCTCAGCCACATATCATCCCCTGTTCCTCACTCAGCTCTGATGCAGCTCTGATGCATATTTGGGCATATGAATGAGAAACAGCTAACTGATGGACAGTTTACATGAGTACGAATAATGATGTTGTAATGTATCACAAGACACCCATGTAAAGCACCTTGGGGTGACTGTTGTGAAAGGCGCTATATAAACATAGATTGAATTGAGTTGGACTGAATGAATTTGGAGCCAAAGCAAGGTTCTTCTAGCTATCCAACAAGATATCAGTAACGCTTTGGAGGATGGAAGACGTTCTTGTTAGTTTTCATTGTGCTTCTGCTTCTGTTCATTTGCATATATTCTAATCCTAAATTGTGTTTCTTTTTGAGCAAATATACACATATTAGTTACTACACAGATAAATAGCTTTAAACACTTTCTTTGATTACATAAGATTGTATATCTTTTTATTCCCTTCAGCACTTCTCTTCCTGTTGTGTCACATAAATGTTTAAATATAAAAGAAGATGTAAGAGTTTATCCAAGTTGGCAATATACAAACACGTTAGTGGAACGTATTAGAGTGATTAGTCCTATGAAGGAGTGTTCCTGTCAGGATCAGCTCCTGTTGTTCCACTCTATGTCCCTTCTCCGTTTGGCCAGCAGGCTGGCAGGCTGCCTACCTGCCTACCCGCCTGCCCGCCTGCCTGCCCGCCTGCCTACCCGCCTACCCGCCTGCCTGCCTACCTGCCTACCCGCCTACCTGCCTACCTGCCTACCCACCTTTTGTTGCCCTGCCCCTTTTAGAAGTTAGATTGCTTTTCCCTTTTGTTTCTGGCCCCTCAAGGTCTTTTTTTGTTTGTAGTGTTTTCTGTTTCGTTAAATAAACCCCTTCTGTTCCGGTGAGCCACAACTGTGTCGTCCGCATTTCTGTTCAGCCTACATCATGCCTTGTCCTCGCACAAAACCCTTCCGGATCCATAATAGTTCCATTGTCAGGCATTCTGGCTCTCATTTAGAAATGTGACTTGTTCCTTCAGAAGTTCCTTAGTAGATCCTTACACTGTTACATATACCTCAACAGTTTAGGCTCTGTATTAAGAGAAACAGTTTAAGATTTACCAAAATCACCAAGTTGAAATGGCACGGTCATTTTCACTGTTTAATCGTCGAATGTCAGGGAGTGCTTTATATGTGCCCTAATGAACCACAAGCAGTGCCTATTGTTTAATTGGCCAATGATTGACCTCAGGCTGCTTGTATTTTAAAATTGCTTGAGATTTTTAATAGACTGGAATATATCCTTTCTCACTCTGATGTGAACAGAGGCATCATCTAAGTATAAAGGTTCCTTTTAAGTCCAGATTTTTGTCCTCCTAGGTTTATGTTCGTTATATAAGCAACTCAATAAAGTTTGCCTCTGGTTTACAATAAACCCAGTAAAGTTTGTGTATATCATTTCTATCCAGAGGCAACAAAACAGTGTGAATGTGAATGTGGATCGTATCTCTCCTTCACCGTTTCCTGTATTGTCTGAAAGAACGTCCCATGTTGTAAACACCAAACAGTATAATTCTTCCTGACATCGATTTCATCTTTTGGTGCCTGTATGGCCTCTATTTAGACTACTGAAATTGGCTGGCTCAGCACCTCCATTAAGTATTTTAATTGATAAATTCTGTGATTCTATTGTGTATTTATATTAAATGAAGCAACCGTGGATTATAAAGCAAAGGACAGTGAAGATTCAAAGCCTCATTCGTGATTGTTTATGGTAGTGGATATTTGTTTGTGATCAGATATGGAAGGCTTGCAGATGTTTCCAAAATGAAGGATCCACCTCCTCTTTTGAACTCTGTTGCACACACAGTCTAGCAAAACACAGCCAAATTTACACATATGATCCTAGTCATGCTATGAAGGTTTTTGATGTTAATTAATGCATGAAATGTAAATAGAAGTGCAAGATTTCTGTTTATTTTAGTGTCTTTCATTTATGACACCAAATGTAAGCCATAGGGTTTTTTAGATTCATATTTTGGGGTTTTCTTTGTCGAGTGCCTGTCAGTTTGATAAGATAAGCAATTACCGAGTTGATTGATGTAGTTAAAGGATGGTGTTTTCCATATTTGAAGATATTGTCTTTATACCAGTATATGGTAGTTTATTTTATTACTTTGGTACTATTTATTAATTATTTTGGTATTCTTTAACCAGATACAGCTTGGTCTTGGGCCCAAGAAAAAAAACAGAAACCAATGTTACATGATTGGTAATAAAACAGAGTTAAATTTTATCATCTGTCTACTGCTTTATAACAGTTTTTGTTTGCCTTTCCTCTAGGTGTTGAAGCTTCGAAATCGATGACAAAATGACGCTCAACTTGTCCAGCTTCAATGAAACTTGGGGTTCTGGTTCCCAGCTACTGAAGGACCCCTACAAGATGATGGAGGTTATATTCATTGTCCTGGTTGCTGGATCTCTTAGCCTGGTCACCATAATTGGGAACATCCTAGTCATGCTATCTATTAAAGTTAACAGGAACCTGCAGACTGTCAACAACTACTTTCTCTTTAGTCTGGCGTGTGCAGACCTGATCATTGGCCTTTGCTCCATGAACCTGTACACAGTTTACATTGTGATTGGATACTGGCCGATGGGGCCGGTAGTGTGTGATCTGTGGCTAGCCCTGGACTACGTTGTAAGTAACGCCTCAGTCATGAATCTCCTTATCATTAGTTTTGATAGATATTTCTGTGTCACCAAGCCACTCAGCTATCCAATCAAAAGGACAACCAAAATGGCAGGCATGATGATTGCGGGAGCCTGGGTCTTGTCTTTCATCTTGTGGGCTCCAGCCATACTTTTCTGGCAGTTTATCGTTGGGGTTCGCACCGTGCCTGAGAAGGAGTGCTACATCCAGTTCTTCTCAAATGCCGCAGTCACCTTCGGCACTGCCATCGCCGCCTTCTATTTGCCTGTCATCATTATGACGTTCCTGTACTGGCAGGTCTCCCGGGCCAGCAGGAGCCGTGTGCAGAAGGACAAACAGATGCGTTCGGAGGTTCTTCAGAAGGCTCTTCACAAAAAACAGACACAAAGTCACAGCAATAAACCTAACGACAACAAACTAAAAGCTGAGAACACTGACAAAAACCAGACACTGAGCACAGAAAAAGAGAACAGTGGACACAATCTGAAGCTCCCCAATGGCAATGGAACATTCACAATTGGCAGAGAGGAGCTTATTGCAGACACAGAAATGGATGGCTGTACCCCAGGAGAGGAAAGGGAGAGCTCTAATGATTCTACGTCCATTAGTCACATTGCCTCTAACCTTAAATATGAAGATGTAGCTCTGTCGAGGAGAACCTCTAAGGTTAATCCCAGCCCTCTACCTTCCTATCTGTTGGATTCAAATAGTAGCAGGTCTAAAGTTTTTAACAAGGATGGCAACTGCACGATCACCAGTGCCAGAGTAGAGATTGTCCCTGAAGTGGAACAGCAGAGCCATACGACCCAAAATATAGCGAAGAACCCCATAAATTCACCCAAAAAGAAGAAGATGACATCATCGCGGGAGAAGAAGGTCACACGGACAATCATGGCTATCCTCGTGGCATTTGTGGTCACCTGGACGCCCTACAATGTCATGGTGCTCATCAACACGTTCTGCTCCAGCTGCATCCCCATCACTATGTGGACTATTGGCTATTGGCTTTGCTATATTAACAGCACAGTAAACCCCGCCTGCTATGCCCTCTGCAATGTCACATTCAAAAAGACCTTCAAACACCTCCTCCTCTGTCAATACAAGAACAGTAGATCCGCTAGATGAGCAAAACCTTGGTTTTTAATGTGAGTCTGGCAATGTAGGAGTAGCTGGGGATGAAAGGAATTGAATGAAAAAGAAGGAAATTAAGACATTGTCTGGCAGCTGTCCGATAAGACAAAATATGAAAATATGACCACATAACTGCACTCAGATACACCTTAATACCATACAGAACTAAGTCAGAGAAACAGTGAATTCTAAATGTATATGTAAATAGATTCAACAAAAGATAAATGCAAGCAGTAATCTTCAGAAATCTAAAAGCCCTGGAATTAAAAATTTGCATTTAAAAGGAAGTAGAGAGAGACATTCACACAACATAGATTAACATAGATACTAACACACAGTTGTATGCATGGACAACAAGCAGAACTGTCACAGGGAATGCGAACACTTTAAAGTGTCAATGTGTAGTTGCACGTTTGTTGCACCCACGTGCAAGTCTCCACGCATGAGAAGACATCTTGGAGAAGCATATCGCGAGGGATTAAGCAAAGAGACAGAGGCACCAGTGCCAATATGAGGAGTAACAGGGAAAAGGACAGAAAAGTAGTAACACTGTGAAATTAACACTACACCGAAAAGTATCAGATTTCAGAGTGACATGAACTGCTCCATTAGCAATGCTGTAAGAGTTAAATAATTAAGACAATATATTATATCTGATCGCCTTATGCTTTTAAGGTGAGAAAGAGAGGACACCTATGAATCTGTCCTGTGATGAGAGTCAGTCAATAATAATACAGCTACTGTGAAGGAGCTGCACAGAATCTGCAGTGACGAGTGGGATACTAACTGGTGGCCAGGGAATGCAGACTAATGCTAAAGACACAGCTGTCCCAGTTACAGGGCAGAGGTGGGGAGAAGCCAGGACAAATAAAGGATTCTGGGAAGAAAAGTCAGTTCATCTGTTTTCTGTGTCGAACTGGCTGTCTGTTTCTACCTTGTGTGTGAAATGCTAATTATTATCAAGCCATTGTGATGCAGCTGAACAGGTCTGTCTGTGAGAAGGATATTAGATAAAAATAGAATTCCGCACTGCAAATTCAGATAAATCCGATCTAAATCTTAAAGTGTTCTTACAAGAAAAAAGGCAAATTAAGTGAAAATGCAATCAAAGTGTGTACATACTGTACAGATAATATATATATATCAGTATTTAATGTTACTGGGAAGTTGTTTCTTAGGTTCTTTCCATGTCATGGAAATGTGATCATGTCCTTTCTACTTACTGTAATGCCTGCTAACTACTTTCTACTTACTGTAATGCTTTTTCTTCATTATTTGGAATATACAGTAGACACGTAGATACTCAGGCATGTGTTTGAAAGTATTTTTCACTTGTTATTGATAACGTTTTGTTGTACAGAATTCTGTAATTCATTAATTTTTTTCCAAAAAAAACAAACATTTGTGACATTCAGTGTTGGTATGACATCCCATTCGAAATCTATAGACATCAATGCCATGTACAGTATGTTATTGACCAGTCCATCAGCCTAGTTCGATGTTAACAATTGGCTTATGGGGCATATCAACTTAGAATGAGCGAACATATTGTATACAGCTGCACATCTAGTACAGAGAGAAAATGTAAAGAGCATTATATTACATATACACATATTAAGTATGGTGCCTCAAAGTGAGCATTAGCAATGGGATCAATCAACAGAAATGATCCTTCCATCAATCTAGACAATACACTACATGGACAAAAGTATTAGCACACCTGGCCATTACATGTAGAGGGACCTCTACTTCATCCTATTCTAAATCCTTAGGCATCGATATGGAGTCGGTCCCCCCTTTGCTCTTATAGCAGCTGCCACTCTTCTGTGAAGGCTTTCCACAAGTTTATGGAGTGCGTCTCTGGGAATTTGTGCCCATTCATCCAGAAGAGCATTCGTGAGGTCAGTCGCTGATGTTGGGCATGAAGGCCTGACTCGCAATCTCTCTTCTAGTTCGTCCCAAAGGTGTTTGATGGGGTTGAGGTCAGGGCTCTGTGTGGGCCAGTCAAGATCTTCCACACCAAACTAACCCAACCATGTCTTTATGGATCTTGCTTTGTGCAGTGGGGCACAGTCATGCTGGAACAGAAAAGGGCTCTTCCCCAAACTGTTCACACAAAGTAGAAGCACTTTTATATGCAGTAATTTGTAAAGTAATTCAATTACTTTTGAATGAAGTAACTAGTAATTGTAACGTTAACGCTTTACTTGACAGGGTACAAATGATACAGTATTATGCCATTGCTTATGTATTAATTAACCACAAGCTAAGTCTTAGTTACATACTGATCTCATGTTAATTCATCATTAATGAATTGTGACGCATGTTTTATCTCAAGCAGTTACTATATTTGTTACTATATGTTATTTCTGTAAACCTTTGTGAACTACTGAAGGAACAAGTCATGAATAACATGTTGTTAAATTCTGATCTCATGTTTGTTCATCATTAATGAATCATGATGCATCTTTCTTGCCAAGGAGTTACTATATTTGTTACTATATCTGTTAATTCTGTAATCCCGTGTGAACTACTAAAGGATCTACTAAGGAACTTCTGAAGGAGCAAGTAATGAATAATGCAAGTGATATACTGATCGTATGTTTGTTCATTGAAAACATGCTGAGGCTGATTGGAGTTACCAAATTGCCCGTAGGTGTGTGCGTGTGAGTGAATGGTGTGTGAGTGTGCATGGTGTGTGTGAGTGTGTCCTGTGATGGGTTGGTGCCCCATCCTGGGTTGTTCCCTGCCTTATGCCCATAGGGTCTGGACCCCCTGCAACTCTGGATAGGAGTCAGAAGAAGAATGAATGTTTGTTCATCATTAAAAATCATGATGCATGTTTTATCTCAAGTAGCAACTATATTTGTTCATGGTTTGTTTATGATCTGTACTTCAGTAGTAACTGAGTTATTACTAAATATTTGTGTTCCATCAAGTAAAGTGTTACAGTTTTAATTAATTATGAATTTTCAGTATCTTGCATAACACTGGTGACATTTTTTATTGAAAATTCCTCTCACTACTCATTTAATGCCATAAAGGTTTCCTATATATTCTTCACCAGCATAATAAATAGCACTGAAGAGTCAACATTCTCCTGAGTGTAGTGTCTTAAGTGTTCAGCCACACTACCCAGAAGCCATTGTGTATATCAGGAAATGTTCATGCAAGAGGAAGTGAAAAAAGTAAACAGCATGTTCTGCTGTAGCCTTGAGTTTATGTTGTTATTCCAGTAATATTAATGTGTCAGTTTAAGTAAAACACATAAAACATTACACTGAGGTCTCTAAAATGGTTTAGTGAGGGCAGACTCTCCCTTCTCATCGGAAAGGAGAAATCCTCATTTCTGAGCAGTATGGCCTGTTCTGTGTTAGCAGGCTTGAGGCCAACGTCCGTTCTAAAAAACTTTGTGCCAAGTAAGCACACACAAATCTTAGGACCTGAAAACATGCAATAGCAGCTTTGAGCGCACTGAGCAGGTCTATGGTGGGGTAGCAGGAATCATCAGACAAGGCTTACTGGTTTACTCTCCTCATAAGTTGCGAGTAATGACTGAACAACGTCACTAAATTCCTTTGGGGGCAATGTATGGCTCAGCCAGATGGGACATTTTTGATATGCTGGTTCAAATCTCATGGCTGGTAGAGTGATTTCACCATTGGGCCTCCAGGGACTGTTTGACCCTGTTTTCTCAAAAAAAAATAAAAAAAAAGCTAAAATCAGCTAAATAAATAAAATGTAAATGAGATTAGAGGCTGAAATGAGGTTTCTCAAAATGTTGCTGGACTTAATCAGAGCTTGAATATCTGAAGTAAGCTTGAAGCAGAGCTGCTGTTCCCTCAGATTGAGAGCAGGGAACTGTGGATGGTCCTGACATCTCATAATGATACCACCTCATTGGCACCCAAGGAAGTGCTTCCAGAAACTTCCCATTGGCCAGATCGCTGGGGACAGACTCAGGAACATACTGGAGGGATTATACTTACCAGTTGACTTGGAATCGTTTGGCAGTCATCAAGAGGGGGATAGAGTTTGTGGCATTAGACAGAAAGGCCTGGTTTGATGTTTTATTACTGCCGAGGATGGATCGGTTGATGGAGTGTAAAAATATTACACTCACCTTACACTTACATTATATTACCTGCTGTAGACGTTTACTTTACAGTTGAAGGATTCACTTTCTCTGTGTCAGTGTGGGCAGTGGTTAACCAAATGTTAAGCAAATATAGCAATTTCAACACTCCCTAAAAGCAAAACATACATTCCAAATAGAGCAGGACAGTTAATAAAATATTTAAAGCATCATTTTTAAATATACACAAAAAACAATCCTCTCAACAATCATCTCAAAAGAAATGCACCCTTTCCCTCAACCCAACACACCAAACATATGAAATTTAATTTAAAAACAGGAGAGAATGGTGTGTCAGTGAGTAGCATAGATACCTCAAAGGCCCAGAGTTGCGGGTGTAACTCCTGCCCTTTTCTGTTCTCACATTTTCTCTGTGTTTCGTCCCCCAGTCCCTACACACCATACACATGCTTTTAGGTCAACTGGCATTTTCTAATTGCCCAAAGTGTGTGTAACTGTGTTCTACTCATCATGATTAACTGGCATCTTGTCCAGAGTGTCCCCTTTATAGTGCCTTTTTCAGCCTATGACAGGCTTTAGATGCCAAACCTCCACTGGGTTATAAGCGAGGGGATGACTCGAATTCACCCAGTAAGAAACCAGATTAAATTGTTGTGAATCCAGAGAGGCCATTGAGCCTGATTGCATGTATTTTGACTGCAGGAAGATACCCAAACAACACAGGAGGATCAGATCAAAGAGAACGTTAAAACCCCCAGCCTGCCGTCCAGAGTGTTCAAATATGAAATCATTATCTTCACTCAATCAGCTAACACTCTTTGCTATCCAAGCATTACATTTTCATCAGTTTCCTCTGAAAGCAATGGCATTGGTCAGTGCTATAGTTGGCAAACAAAGGCTATTCAGCATTATTTTTGGATGTTTTTAGGTTTGTGTAGTCCTAGAATACAGCAAAAGTACTTTGGATATGGAATTAGAGGGAAACTAGAAACTATAACGTAAATTAAGTTGGAACCTTCAAGCACCACCTAACTAGGTCAGAATGAGTATCTATCTAAATTAAGGTAAAAGAACTCTAGCATAAAACATACAGCAAATGGCTAAATAATAACAGATAAATGCTAATCATTGTCACAGAAACAGTGTAGCAGCTCCGCTTTTAGCCCTGATTGCTGCCGCTGTTGCTTCTCCTTTACAGGCTGGTCTAATTTCATCTTTGACTGTCTGTCTTTTATATGGACTCCAATAGTTAATAAACAACAATCAAGCCTGTTGTACTTGTCTCTTCTGTGCCACCGCAGTATTAAACAAACCCGAAGAGAAACAAAGGACAGATGTTTACATGGGCATGTGAAGGCAAGTCACTCTTCTGAGGGCTGAGTTCCAGCAGAATCAGCCTACCCTGACGGTAGTGGTGCTGCCCTAAACCATTTATCACCTACTGGTGGACTCCGGTTTAAAATATAATTGAATCTGAGCCCCCAGCTTGTCAAATTTAACCATCGGGAACACCCCAAACCCACCCCCGATTTTTGTATTGCTAATGGAATTTCGTCCTTGGGGACTCCTGCCCTAAACACACTAACCGGGGGCAGAATGGTCCCCCTGGGGCAGTGTATGACTGTAATCTGAAGGTCACCGCTTCAAATTCTATGATCATATTGCCATTTGGCCCCTGGACAAGGTTCTTAGGCTCAGCTGCTCTACGGGCACCAGATAAATGTTTAACCCTAGCTTTACTCTAACACAGGGTTATTCAAATCACGGTCCTTGAGGTCCAAGCACTGCTGGTTTTCCAGCCTTCCTTTACCCGTTAGTCAGGTTTGAAGCCTCTGACCAATCAGAAACAAATAGCCTAATCACAAATAAAAAAATAAAATAAAAATAAAATCAGTAATTATTAATTTAGCTATCTGGTTGAACTGAAAACAAGGCCTGGATTTGGAATCGAGGTCCAGATTTGAAGAACCCTGCTCTAACCTCTTTGTACAATGACAAATAAAGGCAATCTCTTCTACATTAAGGCCAAGCATTATGGCCTGAATGGACACATTTAACATAAAATGTTTAATTAGAAAGTTTCCAAAACATGTCAGGTGATGGCAAGAGACATATCGGCGTGTACCATACTGCCTAGGTTTCACTGAAAGTACCAGGTACATATTCTGTAATTGAATCAACTGAAGAACTGTCCCGTCCTCTTCAGTTTATTTAATGCAAGTTGTATTATGGTATTATGGAAGGCATGATTTTTACTGTAGCTATGTTATTTTGTTCAGGTGTTTTGGCAATGCAACTAGGAAGGACGGGGATGAGGATAAGCAGATGATTTTGTCCAATTTGCATCCACGGAAGACAGCCTGCAGCTTATACTGAAATTATAATAGAGTTCCTCAGGGTTGCATCAATTTTCTTTCTATCTATATTTGACACACAAATTATTTGATTCTAATTAAGCTGAAATTATGGTATAAATCATGGGGAAATGGTGATTTAAATTAATTTTCTTTATTGTGTTCTATTGATTAGCGTGTCATTGCAGCAATCTTTGACATGGCAACTTAATTGATAGCATTTATCAAGTGAACCCATAAAAAGCACTGAATTCAGCTGAATCCCAAACGGTAAGCGAAATAGACCTACTACTGATGTCATAACAACGATCGGCATTTATGAGAAAACTAATTTTAACAATCGGCATCTTTAGTAAGTCTATTTTTCGCTAACAGCAGAAAGCTTATTTTTGTATCTCCAAATAACAGTGAAAATGTATTCCTAAGGTGAACTTGCCTCTATAAGAGCTGGGCAGGTTGGGAACAAGTCCAATACTTCGCCATTTGAACTGGTTAGTTGGTTAATAGCTCATCATCATTTAGGGTGTATGAATGAACAAACCCTGTCCTTAATAAAAAAAAAATCTGTTAAAAATGTGCCTGATAATGTGTCATATGGATCTGTCTATTTATGTCTATTTATATAGACATTAATGTGTCAGTACAGGATACTACCTTTAGCTTTTTGACTGTTTTCAACACTCTTTCCTTGCTGATGTATATTCTCTGTTTTGTTTCCTATTGATCATGAATTTTGGGTTGCTGATGTCACTCTGATTAGGGTTAAAGCCTCATTATCTTCTGTCATGTTGTTATAACAAATTTGGAACAATTATGAATGTCTGTGAATTAATTTTAAATTAATGTTTAAAAATGTCAGTAATTAATGTCTGGTGTACAAAATGTTGGACCTCACAACTGCTGTTCAAG